GGGGGGGGGGCGGGGGGGATCCCAGCAGTTGGGAGTGCAGCTTCGTCCCACTCTCATGCTCGTTCCCGCAGGGCCTTATGTCTTTCACCATCCGACATGTTACACCTCCACTTTAGATTTCATCTGAATAAAGGGTCTGTGGCTAAAAAAAGTTTGAGAATCACTGGTCTCATCCACCACTTGACTCTGCAGATGAGAAAACTGACTCAGAACACTTAAGAGAGGGTGGGGTGGGGGGAGCTTGGACTCATGAGCCCAGTCTGACACCACATCCTGGCCCTGCTGTTACAGAATCTGGTTGTTGCCTCTGGGAGCCTCACTTTCCCCGAGTGTGAATGGAAATGGTTCTGCTCACCTTGTCACATTGTGAGGGTTGAATGAGATGACAGACGAAGTACCTGGGACTGACTGACTCCCTACACTTGTGTGTAGACTTGCCGTGTTCGTAATTCATTATAGTAATGCCTTGCATAGTGCCGGTGGGCACTCAGTGAACAGTAACTATTTGAAACCACACAGAACAGAGTACAAAAACTGACGCAAACTGGAAATTACTCCACCATCATAAGTTTGTGAGAAGTGAGAGAAGCCAACTGGGGGGCTGGTTACTGGGTTGGCAGCGAGAGATTTTGCAGTGATAATTGCTTTCCTTCTCTGTTGGGTCTAATCAGAAATTTGTAGAAGTGTCGAAATTGGACTCTAGAAATATATTCAACCAGGTTAAGGCTCCTTATGGGTACAGGGGAGAGTCTGGTGGGAGAGATCTCAGAAAGACAGCAGGTCCTGGCTCCCTCCCCACCCCCACCCTTCTTGTGCCAGGGCCTGCCCTCCAGCCTCAAGCCTCAGCGTGGTCTCTGCTTGAAGCCCTGGGCAGCACCAGCACCACAGGGCCTCTCTGCTTTGACGTCACCTTTGCAGTTGAGCTCAGGCTCTTTACTGAAGGGTGGCCCAACTTTTAACTCCTTGTAGGTGTCATGGGGATGGAGCCCTGTATGCCTCCTTTCTGTAGGCTCCTTCTAGAACTTAGCCCAGAGGCCCGCCCCTAGTGCTCAGTAAGGGTTTGTAGACACCTGGCTGACTTTGAGGCAGCCTCTTGGGCCTGCTGAGGACCTCAGCTGCGTAGATTCCGGTTGAGGCCCCATGGCACCCAACATTTGCAGGGCACTTCATGCTTCACAGAGCTCTTCTCACACAGCAGACTTGTGAAGTTGATGACGTTTCCCCATTTTACAGTTCATGAAACTGAGACCATCGTAATTGGAGATGTGTCCACAGTCACACAGCTGATTGGTGGCAGAATCAGTCCCAGTCCACTGCTTTTTTCCCTTCAGTTGTTTTCCTGTGCATCTAGTCACTGAATAAAAGTTTGGGCATCTCCACTGGAAGGGCCCTGTGCTGGGAACACAGAAGGCAGATACACAGGCCATATGCCTGAGAAAGCGTCTGTCTGCAGGGACTGTCTCTTAAAGCTGTAGTCCCTGCCTTGGGATGGGACTTCTGGGACACTTAGCAGCACTGGGAGGACATGGGGTAGCAGGGTAGGTGAAGGACAGAGGCCATTAGCACAGGAAGAGGACCAATACAGGCATGGGACATGAGGAGGCCTTCAGCCAGCAGCAGAGAACCCCGTCGGGCATTCAGTGAGGAAGCCGGCTTCTGGGTTGGAGAAGAGGGTGGCTCCAGAGTGGAAGGAAGAGGCTGGAAGTGAAAGTTCACATTGGCCCCTGAAGGGATAAGCAATATCAGTGGCAGTCCAGAGGGCCAGCCTTCCCAGCGGGTCCAGGGCTCCTAGAAACTAACATTGTCTCCAGCCCCATCAGTGTCCTTGGACATAAAGGGCAGGAGTTTGCAGGTGGGTAGAGTAGGTCTCTGGAGGGGCTGATAGAGTGTGGTGTCCGAGCAAAGGAGGAAGGCAGTGTGGACATGGCCTGTCTGCCTTCTCTGAGCCTGTCACTTTTTGCTGGAGACAAGGGGAAGTCTTTCCCACCTCTCTCACCCCTTTGTCCCCAGCCAGCATGAGGCACACCTCTCTCTCAGGTCCCTGTGCCACATTTTCTTTGCCACCTGGTACCATTTAACAAGAGAAGTGGCATCGTGTTCTCCAGCCGAGGATCTGGGAGCCTTCCAAGTGCTGGGGGAGCATGATGCTATCACTGCTGCCAGCTCCCAGCTGAGCTTGGCAGGGGCCCTAGAACCAAGAGGCCGCCCCTCTGGGATTGGGGGCTGCCTGCCCCTACCTCACAGCAGAGCTGAGCCACCATTAAATGGCAGTCATGTGCCTTCAGACCTGCTGTCCCTGGAAAGTAGAGGATAGGTGGCCAGGGTGTGGTTGCTTCACACTGTTCAGAGGCCAGTGACAAAACCCAGGAGGCAGTTTGACTGAGGGAAGTGATGGAAGATCAGTCTCTATGCCTGACATGTGCCCATAATCTGTGTTTGGTGCTGTGGTGGGGTGGAGGAGATGGGAAAAGCTGGACTTGGCTGCTTGCTGATGGCATGACCTCAGGGAGATCACCCTCCATCAGCCTCAGTTCCTCATCTGTAGAATGGGGCCAGGATAACCGATGCCTTTCTCCCCCAGCTGGTTGTGAGGACTGACAGCGAAGAAGTCATTAGTTTAAACAAAGAGCGTTAAGCAAATGTAAAACCTTTCTGAGTGGCCATGGTCATGAGGTGGTCATATTGGAGGCCACTACTGATAGGTGGGCAAAGACCCATGGGCTACAGGTCTGAGTGGTGGGTTACCTTAGGCTTCAGGAGGCAATGCACCTCTAGGCAGGCCTAGAGGCTGCTAGATCTATGCTTCTGTGGACCCAGAGGAAGGTATTAGTTGGGCTCCCGATGTCTGGATGAGGTGTCCGAGACTCTCAGAGGGGAAGGACTTGCTCAGAGACACAGATTCATTCATGTCCCTCATGCCACCTGGCTGTGGACAGCCCATGGGCCTGCCATGGGGAGCTCACATTGTAGGAGGCAGTCCAAGCCTAAGTGTCCTGGCCTCAATCTGACGGTATTTCTCATCCCTGACAAGGAGGCTGGGCCTTCCTAGCAAGCAGGGGGCTTTGCAGCATGGCACCTGTGTCTCCTGCGCCTCTCAGTGAGCAGAGGCAGGGGCAGCCTGGCCACAGAGGGGAAGTAATGCAGTGGGAAAGGGCCCAGCCTTTGAGTCCCACCAACCTGGGGTCTGGGGCCGACTTGCAGTGTGACCTGGAGCAGCCCACTTCCCCTTTGAGCCCCACTGCCTGCTCTACCTCCTGAGATCCTCGTGAGGCTCAGACAAAAACTGAAGAGTCTGACACCACACCTGCCCCATGTCCACCCTCCGCCGACAGTGGCCTCCGGGACTGGCAGGCTGTGCTCCAGAGTGTGGTGGACGAGCTGAGCCCAGGAGGGTTCTTGAGACACTGTCCTGCCACGGGCTGCCCTCTGACCCACACACCCCAAGGGGTGCAAGCCCAGGCCTACTGGCAGGGCTCCAGCACAAAGGGACCTTTTCCAGAAGGCACCTGCTGGCTTAGCCTCCTTCTCTCCAGTCTCCCCTGGGGCCAGAAGGACACAGGCAGAGAATTTCTGTAAAAGGATGTCTCACAGACACTTGGGGGGCCAAGGGGGACAATGTGGTGGGCTGCCAGGCCTCGCACACCCTAAATCTGTGAGTCCCGCCTGAGCATTACACTATGGACTGGGGGCTGCTAAGGACAAGCTCCAGGAGGGAGAGTGGATGGGTGGTCCCTAGCATCCCTGACCTGCACGGAGGCAGCCTTCCTTGGGCCATCCTCTTACATCAGGGGAACACCAAAGGCATTTGGTGGCTGCCTGGTCTGACTGCTAAACTGTCCTGCAGGGCCAGGCCCAGAGGGTCCCCTAGCCCTTGGTCCACCTCTATTATGCTTGGCCACAGGGAGTCTTCCTATGAGGGATCACAGACTCCGTGAGAGCGGGAGTTAACCCCCACCCTCACTTCCTGCCACTGTCTGCAGACAGGGAAAAGACCCCGCAGGAGTGTGTAGCAGGGGAGAGCTCAGTAACTGGGGAGCCTGACTGGTCCCTTTCCTCTCAAGCTTGCTTTCCTCTGCAGAGAAAGAATAGCCATGCCACTACCCCCAGGCTGAGGCAAGGGGAGTCCAGGTAGTGAGAGTGTGTTGCACAACTACCCTTTCCCTGGTTGCTGTGCCTTGGGCCTTGGCTGTTCCCCCACAGACATCTTTGGGGATTGCTCTGAACTTCATCCCCTCTGTGCTCCAAGGTCAGCTCACCAGGCCTTCCCTGACCCCCTCTATTTAAAATTGTAACCCCACTGCCGGGCTCGGTGGCTCAGCCTGTAATCCCGTGCCTTTGGGAGGCTGAGGTGAGTGGATTGCCTGAGCCTGCAGGTACAAGACCCGCCTGGGCAGGCGAGACCTCATCTCTACAATAAATCAAAAAAATTAGCCGGGCGTGGTAACATGCACCTGTAGTTCCAGCTACTTGGAAGGCTGAGGTGGAAGGATCGCCAGAGCCCAGCAGGTCCAGGCTGTGGTGGCCGGGAGCGGCCACTGCACTCCGGTCTGGGCGACAGTGAGACTCCAACTCAAAAAAATAAATAAAGTAAAATAAAACTGTACCCCTAAACCCCTGACAGCCCTTCCTTCTGGATGTTTCTCCCCAGCACTTCTCACCTCCTCACCCATTATATTATTTCCTGTTTGGGTTATGTCTCTGGTTCCCTGTCCCCAGAACCTAAAACAGTGCCCGGAGCATTGCAGGTGCTCAGTTAGTATTTGGTAAATGACTGGAGACGTCTGCATAGGGGGGTTGGCCTGTACATCCACACAGGGCCTAGCAAGCTTCTTGTCCCTCATGCATGCATGGAATAAGGTCTGGGGGTTTAAGCCTGGGGGCTCCTGGCTCTTCTTGCCCACCCGGCCTTATAACCTCCCTCCATTTTACACACCTGGCCCCCTGTGACTGAGGGGCTGTGGTCTCCTTTCTAAT